GTGAATGCAAATATGTTTCTTCCTATAGAGAAATAAAATTCGGCGTACCACAGGGGAGTGTCCTTGGGCCACTGTTATTTTTACTTTACATAAACGACCTCCCAAGCCAAATCCATCATCCAATGGTATTATTTGCCGACGACAGTACAGCTCTAATAAAATGCCTTAATAAAGATTCTTATGAAAGTGATATAAACACTACGATTAAAACTATAATTAACTGGCTGAATTATAACAATTTACTGATCAATATTAAAAAAACTAAAATAATGCACTTTTATCAGAAAATTCGCACTGAAGATCTAAATATAAATTACAATTGTCAAATAATTGAAAGAGTAGATGTCGCAAAATTTTTAGGTATTTTAATAGACAGCCAATTGACATGGAAGGCCCAAGCAGATGATGTCTGTAAGAAACTAAGTGTTTCTGCATATGCACTCTATAACCTGGCAAAAAAAGTCAGTGTCAAAACGGTGCTAGTAGCTTACCATGGCCTGGTAGTTTCCATTTTAAGATACGGTATTATATTTTGGGGCAACTGTGGCGATAGAGAAAGCATTTTCAAAGCCCAAAAGCGCTGCATAAGAGCAATCTTCAATTTAAAGATAACTGATAGTTGTGTCCCTATTTTCAAGGCCCATAAATTATTAACTTTTCCGTGTCTCTATATTTTAGAAATAGCGATATTTGTTAAAATTAATCATCATTTATTTCCTACCTTAAATGAAACTAGAGTACGAGCCGTATCTATAAGAACGCAATATAAATATTTACTGTATACAGGAAGATTTCAAACAGCTTTATTAAAAAAAAGTGTTATGAGCATGGCTCCTATCATATATAACAAAATCCCAATTTTTGTAAAAAATCAACCTATTAGAATATTTAAAAAGAGTCTTACTTCTTTGTTATTGGAAAGATGCTATTACTCAGTATCGGACTTCTTAAATGATACCAATATTTAAATAACGTTGCAGTTAATTAATTGTTTATAATATGTTCTTTGTATTAATAATGTATGTGTTATGCTAACTGCAATAAAATTTCGACAATATAAATTTATGTAATAATAATAATTCAATACTTTGAATTATAATAATGTAATAATTATTTATACTCATAATTATAATTTTAAATCTATTTAATAATTAATTACTAGTATTATATAGAAATAAATTTAATTTAATATTTGCATGCCAAAATGGTAGAATGTACGGATCTTCTATGTACTCTATCAACACCTTATTGTTATTACCTACATTCAATGCAAATAAATCATTACTTTACTTTACTTTACTTTTACTTTACCACGTATAACTTTTCCAATGCAGCTGCAGATTCCCTCACAGTAACACACCATAAGTCATGATAATATCGTCGCTGTAGAATGATAACCTCGTATGTCCAGAGATCTAAACTTTACAGGAAACGAAAAAAATTGTTCATTTCGTCAATGTTTAAAATATTGTTATTAGCTTTTGTCTCATGTACTGAATGACAAATAGGACTTTTTTATATTACTAACCAATCTCTTAATTAACTGTGTTATACCAGTTAAATTGACATAAGAGGTTTTCTGTTTTAATATGTGCTAAGTTGCGAGGTTTTCAAAAGTAAAGACACTGCTGTAGACTAAAAATATAATGTTTTATTGGATACAATTTGGACAAGTTTTGGTAAAAAATCAGGATAGAAAGATTTTCTTTCACAGATATCAGTCGAACCGTAAGCTTAGATATCCTAAAATTCCTTTTAAACCTAATCATAACTCAACCGAAGTTCGTTTTCAAGCACATACCCAGAGTAAACAACAATACCTATAAGAAGGCAAAAACAAATTTAATTATAAATGCGGCAAACTATCATAAAATGGATGTAAATCTCGAGGAATCACACGTTTTAATTCCTGAAGATGGTTGTATTTTACCGTAGTTATGGGTAACTTTGAATAATACAACTGTTGAAAACAATCACTAGCATTTGTTTGATGTATTCTCCTTGGTAGTAATTGGTATTCTTTCGAATAACTTAGCTTGAACTTTATGGATCCTTCTGGTTCATATTTAAGGCAACGTATGTCAGTGACTTGTGGGTCACCAACCTTATTACCTGGTCTTATCGATGAAAAATACGGTTGAGAGCAGTATTTTTTGAAGGCTGTGTGGTCTAACTGGACGACATTGTAGGGACCAGGATTGTTACGGGCAGTTTTACAAGCTTCAACATACCGTGCTGGTGAATAAATCTCGCGATTTTTTATCTGCCTCTCAATTGTGGAATGCATCGCATCACATTCCATTTGGTTGTGACCCTTCTCAAGGTATTTTTGGACTTTGACCATACCTGTCTTAGCAGCTGCGAATAAAAGTGCATTGGAGAGAATAGAATTTCTATTTTGGTACGTGCACCCATCACTGTATATAATCACTTTGCGAATGATTGTCCTATCAACATAGTTAATTATAAAATCAACTATGATACTTGAAAACTCATCAGCTGTTAAACCGCATTCAGATTCATTCCAGAGGAAACAAAATCCTTCTTTGGTCTTCAAATTATTTATTGTAAAATTATGCACTTTGAGCTTCATCTTGTAATAAAGTGCTGAAGCTTTTAAATATGGACAAAGCAAGACAGCTTGCAAGTCCATAGTAAATACAGCAACAGAAGTATCATTTTCTGCTTTGTCATTCTCTTTCTGGCTTTGTGCTTCCGCTTTCCGAATTAAATGTAGTTGATAATCCGTATCACTAACACTTTTTTGGACGAAATAAGGACAAAGTTAGGCCCTCAAATACTTCCCAAAATGTATACCTTGAAGCACTGAGATGAGCTTTGTTGTGGTCTTTTGTATATTTTAAATATTCATTAAAAAATGCCGATTTGGATTGCCAATAGGGTTCTAAGTAGAGTTTTGTTGAACTTTTTCTGCAATAATGTGACTCAAGTTTCGGCAGGGAATGGAAGAACTCTCTCAATAACTCTTTTTTTAAATTATTTGCTTGCTCTCTGTTGTTGTTTCTGTCCGAAACGGGCTCTGTATTTGTTGCAACAATGTTTTCAACCCAGTTGTGAACTGACCATTCACCGATATTTATTGTGTTTAAAAACATATTTTTACAGACTCTAAATGTTGCCCCTTTATCTTTAAAATTATATTTATACGAATAACTTCTACGAGAGTCAGAGGTTTCCGTTTTTTTTTTTTGCATAGTACCGCTTTTTAGTACAAATGAGTGACGAAACAACGTTTTGCTTCCCTATTCAGTAGCCAAAACTGCTTAAAAATCTGTAATCTTGAATCATCCGAGAGTTTATAGCATTCAAAAAATTTGGCATTTTTGTTATGTTCACACCGAGGTTTCATTTCTTTTGGCGCCTTTTGAACGTCGTACACAATTTTTCCCTCTTCGTTTTTTCTTCTTCCCAGATATCCCTCACCTTTCATTCGTTTGTTTTTTTGTTGCTCATACATCCATTGAGATTTATCACTTCGTCCTCGTTTAGCTCTTATTCGTTGTTGATTAGATATTTCCCACAAAATTTCAGGACTGTCATTTGGCTGAAAATTTGGATCTTGCACAGAGTCATCGCTGCTGAAATCGGTATTATCTTCAGCCTCTAAAACCTGCAAATTATCATTTCCAGTGTTCTCATTATTATTTATAGCAGAAGTAGACGGTGCCGATGGTGGAATTTTGGATAGTATGATTGTGGAATCATTTTCAGGATTGGAATTTGTTGTAGATGGAGGATTTTCCAGTGTCTGTTCTGAAGGCATTATTGCAGAAAATTCTGCAAGTCTATCAATATTTACATCTGATTGTAATAAAGACGGTAATTCCTCTAAGTCAGCAAGGGTGATTAAGTCTTCTGGTGGCGAATGGTTCTTTAGACATGCTGCCACTAATTTCCTACCTCTATTTAACATTTTGCCTGAAAAAAAATTAAAATTACTAACTTATATTTTAAAGAAAAGCTGCAAAACCAGTAACAATTATGGCATGAAAACCTCGTGTGTTGTTTGAATTTATAACTATACGAGGTTTTCACGTGAAACTTTTAACAAACGGCTGTCAAATCAATACTAACCTAGTATTTGCACTTTAGCAGCCGTTATTGAAAATAAACTAAGACATACCACTTTATTTTCACTATTGGCAGTGCATAGTTTGATTAATTAAAGCCGTTAAAATATTATGTGAAAACCTGGCATGTCACTTGAGTGGTTTGCTTTACCGTGGACATACGAGGTTTTCCTTGCAGTAATCGCGTCAAATAAACGAATGCATATTTATTGCTTAACTACAACTCCTTAGTTATAAAAATACAACCAGAGTGTACTTGGAAATATAAAAAATACAAATAAACTTACTTCACACCGATTTATCCACAATTTTTCACTAAAAATCTCAAAAATAGAGAGTAACGCCGAAACCATGCACTTTTTACGAGGTTTTCTCGCTTGTGAAGACAAGATGGCCGACGAGTAATAAATAAGAGGTTTTCGTTTAACTCCATAGATGGCACCAGTAGTCATACATTCGGTTCACGATTTTGCTGTATTTTAAAATACGTGGTTTTCATTCGATTTTTACAAAAATAAAAAAATATACTTTTTTGACATACGAGGTATTCATTCTACAGCGACGATATGGAAGTTAACAAAGAAGACTAATGTAGCCGTTGCTTCATTAATCATAATAACTTATGATTTGTATTTAATAGTTATTTATAGCTACACATATAAGGCGAGTTTAGGCAATATTTTAAATACATTTTTTATTGTTTCAGATTTTCCTTTGGTAACGTGAGAAGAAAAGGAAAAATCTGCCGTGGTAATACAATCAGAAACAATGCGCGCTTTACATCGAAAGTCTTATTGTAATAGTTAGGGAAACAAAAAAATCTCGAACGCTCTGAAGAACATGTGACGTAACGCCATCTAGTGGCTAACAGGCGAACTACTTAGTGAAAGTGTTGTGCTGTGAATCAAAATGAAGCTGAACTTGTTCAAACGCTCGATGATTTTCGCCACATTTTTCGGCTCCTGTTTGTGTATAGCGTTGATAGTCGGGTCTCTGGGTACGACACACTGGATAGATGCGAGGGCGAGGAGAGCCTCTAATCCACTTGAGTCTGAGGGCAGGATAAGTTTCGGACTCTTTGAGGGACATAAAGAGCTTAACGTTAGATATGGTTGGAGGAATTATAATATTAGTGGTGAGTTTACTAGAGTTATTTCATTAATTTATAGAACAGAATAGAATAAAATCATTTTTATTCAATGTTGATTAGGTAATTGTTATTGATAATCATTTAACACTATATACATTCATTTATATAAATACGATAATGTAAAAGCATTTACATAAACATTTTGGTTTTCGGTAAACGCAATTTAACCTAAGTTTTAATATTATAATTTTAGCTTTCTCGTTTTATTTTAATGAAAAGATAATTTTTTATAAACTGCATTTATTCTTAAGATAAGATAAGACGAACATTTGAGGGAGATTCACATTATTTTATTTTATGTTGTCTTGAGGACTGCATCATATGGTTTTTTTTGAAGTAAAAATTTCTTTAGAATTGTTGTGATTTGAAACTAGAAATGAAAAAGCGACACTGAAAAGAGATAAACATATTATACTTACGTCTATAGAACAGAGATAATGAGAGAGAATAGAGTGTAGTAAGCAACGGTGGCTTAATAGCAGGGTGGGGACCGTGAACTCAAAATGTGGGTTCGAATCCGCTATTCAACGATACTAATTTCACCGGGACACCATGGCGGGGCAACCAGTCGCGCCATTGTGGTGTCCGTAAGCTAGCAAACTAGACACCATACAGACACCAGAGTCGCCACCACACTGAGTATCAAAATGGACCTCGAAGAGATAGCACTACTGCTGTATGTACATAGGAAAAGAGAGTTGATGATAAAAAAGAAACAGTGGTGGGTTCATCCTTATTTAGCCGATCGCTGTAAGAAAGTACAATTCTTCAACAACATATACGACGATCGAAGAAGATATCCGGATATGTTTTTAGCTATGTGAGGATGTCCGTGAGGTTCTTTAATGAGTTACTGACTTTGTGTAAAAATGATTTGTTGAAACAAGACACAATACATTATCATTAAATTATAGTATTAAGAAAATCAGTCAGTCCTGAAGAAAAGTTGTTTGTAACATTAAGGTAAGTTAAAACAAACTATGAACGTTTTTAAAGTAAATTTTATTTAAAAATGTAGACAAGCAAACAAGCCATGAACATTTACTTGCTATAAAGATCCATAAGAGGTTCTGAGTCCTGCGAATCGTTTCGCTTGGAGAATTTGCATATGTCATTGTATTAATAGAATTACATGGAGAATTAGGATTATTTGTAATAGTTTAATTCTGATAATTCCTGTTTGTCCTATAACTCGGTCCAGGATATTCAGTAGAAATCACTTGCCGTTGTGTCGAATAACCGGGATGATAGTTGTCATGACTCACCATCCTGCCACCTGCATTAATTTCTGAAGTATGCCGAAATTACCGATCAGCATAATCAAACGTCCTGTTACCAGAAAAACCTGACGCGTCGTTGAACAAAGTTAGCATCTTTATTTTGGTTCTCTACCAATACCATCAAAATTGAACGAGCTCTAAACTTCTTTTTTGTATTTTTTTTTGTGAATGCATCCAATTCAGTAATTTTTTAATCTTTCTATCCCACTCGCACTTTAGAAATACTCATTCCGTCAACTCGCCGCCGATCAATCAAGGAATTCCTCGCGCAGTTCAACCGCCTTTCTTCAAGTTTGTTTTACGTCATTCTATTCGTTCTAATCCAAATAATATTACACTACGCAGAATATAATACATAATATTAAAAACTATAATAATAATAAAAAAAAAAAAACTAAAACTAGTAACTTAATTATCATATTCATACAGTCCTACTCCCCGCGATATCGTGCTAAGATTGCTGGATGCATTTCCCCGCTGAATGGCTATACTTAGCCTTTGAGCAAGACAAGAACCAGCCCTCTTATCATCAGTAACAATGACCAGTCGCGGATAGAGTTCCTTTAGGAACTTCACCGCACGTGGACCCCACGGACCGATAGTCTCTACAGCAAATGACATAAATATGTAGTCATCTCTCAGATACTCATATTTGCGCCATTTACTCAGTTCAGCTGCCTGCCTGCCCGATGCCGCCCCGGCTCTAAGAGTAATGACACAGAGTGATAGTGTTATTTAAAATTCCGTTCAAAGTTGAAGCAACAACACAATGAATGTGTGCATAGGCGGTCTGTATTTACGTTTGCCCACACGCACACAAGCAAATGAGTAATGTTTGCAAGTTAATGACATTGTCCCCAAAAAGTGGGGAAAATGTAATAGTAGACATAGCCATATAATTAATATTTAGGTCGCGTTTAAAATTATTTATTAACCATTTGCAAAGAGAAAAATGTAACATTATTTATTTTTGTTAACTTATGTAATATTTAAATTCTTTATATACGTAATATCTGGTGTTATGTTCACAAATATATTATGTAATTATATTATTCTGTTGGAAGTGGTATCTTTATATATTTATATAAATATCTGTTATTTATCTTCCATAAATCTTATATTATTTGTAATTATTTATTTTCATATAATACTCAATGGCCTTATTCTATGATATATAGAGAAGTGGAAGAAAAAAAGGGGTTAAAGGCCCACGTCCATTTCTTCCAGTTTTTCCAATCCAGCCGCACTTACACTTAACAAGTGAATAGCTGTCAGATATTTTTTCATTAGTTATTCATTAGTAGCTGTGGCTGTGGCCCGCGGCTTCACCCGCATATTAAAGCATACTCGTACACTGATCTCGATTCTTGCCATTCTAAGAATCTACGTGATATCTTTAATTTAAATCGGTTTCAACGTAAAGGTTACAACAGACAACTTTCACAGAATGGATATAATATTAGAAGAAATCATGAGACTTAAGAGTGCGGTCAGCTTCAAGTGATTATTATTATTACTTTATTGCATATTATGTTTTGCACTAATACAAAATAAGATTCGGAAGGAGATAAACTATTCAAATAAAACATGAAATTAAAAATGTTTATTAAATAATATAAAACAAAATACCTATACTCAAGTACTTAAAAAATATCTCTTAATGACCCTGAAACTGCAACTGTTTTCTCAACAACTGCCGCTTTGATGACGCTATCCTCGAAATGTTATCTTTTTTAGATTCATAAAAGAATCTAACTCTTAGATAACGTTCTACAATAAGCCGCGCCAGATTTGTGTCGTGATATTGTGAATTGACGTGCTCTTCTAAAAAGGGAAATAGAGAACGACCAATGAGTTTGGCCATAATTTTAAGACATAGCTCTATCTCTAAATTGCTTTTCTGTGTGCATTATGCTTAATATAATTTCGCAGATTATTTTCAGAAATACTACAAATGGAGTAAACTTATTTAGAAATGTAAATTAATCCTCCTTGGTCGCGCAAACACACCAATTTATGGAACCATTGTTTACCTTGGCTAGCATATTGTCTACACAAAATCTACATTTTATTCGGGTAGTGATATATCTCACAACATTGCCTGCAATATATCCGAAGATGTGATTTTTGCAATCTGGATCGTCATTAAATGCCATCTCAAATGTGATATCCTCATTAGTCGGTAATGCATTAATCAATTCTTCGTCGGCATCGTCGAATTTTTCTGCTATAGTTGAAGCATTGATTCATTGAAGCGCTGATGAGCACGTCAAAAGTGAAACAGTTTCAAGTGGTAAACAGTTTCCCGTTTCACTGACTTGCAACTCCATGTGGCAGAGTAATTTTCTATAGCTGCCTTTAAATTGAAGGGCGTTGGGATTATCGTTGTGCCCACTATGCATCCTTATTGACCCAAAAACTAGTTCAATATGATCCTGACTTAATCTGTAAGTGGTAATATATTTCAGATCCTGTGTGTCTTCAACCAGAGTACTAAATAAGTAAATAAGGGTTTCGGATACATACGAGCAATCCTTTGAAACCAGGGGAACTTTTGACTGCGTAGACCGATTGAAAACTTTTTATATTTAACTGTATTGAACTTTCGTTTTCTTTAAATTTACGTTTTCTGGTGTTTTTGATCTGTAAGTTATGTATGTTATTTTTCAGCTTTATTTAAATATTCAAATATTTTTGTTTTATTTTCACGGAAAAGGAGATGGCAAAATCAATGTTGAGTTAAGCTTCTAGAATTAAAAATGTCAAACAGGTTATTGAAGATCATTATGAAATTTCCTGTGCCTTCACTTTCTTTGAAACTGTCCAATTTTAGGACTTCACGATCACGACAAAACCTTAACGTAACTGCTACACTCCTACTAAGCAATTGGGACGCTAGTTTTACTTTCATGATAGAGTTTTTAAACTCGAGGTATCTACGAGTTAATTTGTTGGCTAAGTGTACGCCTTCTTTTTCTTGTATATTATTTAATTTTGTTAGGAATTACCAATTAATTTTTCTTTCTTCCTGGTCTATAAATTCTTTTTTGTCCTCAAAATGGTTCCGAACTAGCTTAATCATATGGTTGAAATCTAAAAACACAGCTACGTCATGATCGGCTGCTGGGTGCTTAAATGTAGTTTTAATTTTTTTATAGTCCTTTACCTTGCATCCTAATAATTCCATTGCTGAAATATTGGTAGCGTGAGCGTCAAAGGTAAGGGCGACTACTTTCACACCTACTGCTTCACATTTTATTAGACACATTTTAATTATATTACTTTTTTGCTCACCGGATAGGCCATGAACCAAAAAGTATCCCAGTGGAATTGTCCAGTGCTCGTTAAGACAAACGAGAATAAATAATATATAAGCTTCCGTAGCTTTCGAAAAATATTCAGACGTGCCTGTTCCTTGGTCTACTTGTCCATGACCACCATTTATATTTTACGGACGTATTGCCATTTTGTCTGCTACTAAATTACACATCAATTTCTTTTCAGAACATTGTACTTTACTTTTCAAAAGCTTGAGACGTCAATAAACCTTTTGCAAATTTACTAAAATTTTTTGCAAACATACATTTTTTTTCTTCAAGCGACGTGCTTTTTGTTGCAATATCTTAATTTTTTTAGCGTGTTTGCGTTGAAGAGAGATCTTTTTGGCTAGTTGACTCCGTAGTGCAGACTTTCGAGGCGCGTCAAAAATGGATTCTAAGTCTATGTCGCTCTCTTGGCATACCTGTAAGCAAGTTTTATTTTTATTATGCACATTTCTGATACAATAGGAAGCAGCTGTGTGTCAATTAATTAGAGAAAAATTACTTAAAATCTGGTGATTATTACGCACAGGTTTGTTACATGCATGAGCTTCGTCGCCATTTATTGTTTGTTGCTGTCGGGATGGAGATATAGTTCGAGTTGTAAAATTCTCATCGACTTTATTAGAAGTCGCGCCCTGAAAAACGATCACAAGATTATAGACCTGACATGCGTAAACATTATTAATGAGCTTACAAATTTTACGTGTAAATATCAAAAACGCTAACCAGTTGTGGTTCACGCATTTTATGAGGATCATAAATGTCATTACTATCTTCTGTACAAAAAATGTGCAGACCCTAAAAACATAGCAATAGTAAATATCATAAGTATGTACTTAGGAAAAAATCATGAATTAGTTAAGAATATTATGGTAGAAATATTCTCATACCTTTGTTGGTATAGCACCCTGACGTAATTTACATAAACCACCTTTAGTCATATACTTTTCTTTTTCATCGAAATGTATCGAGCATATCTTTGTGTGTTTAGTTGGCTTCCAATAGTTTTCATTGCGATTAAGTCTGATTTTTTCAATCCATCGATCAGCAATAGTCGGATCAGATGGAAAACTAAAAATGAATACATTTCAATTGGCAATAAACATTCATGTTATTATTAACTTCAATTCATTAAAACTAACATTACTCCTTTTTAAAAGGCCGGTAACGCATCTGCAATTCCCTCCCTGGTGTTGCAGTTGTTCATGGGCGGCGGTAGTCACTTACCATCAGGTGAGCCGCATGCTCGTTTGCCCTCTCTCCTATAAAAAAAAATAATCTTTATGCTATTTTGGCTAAACGTTAACTATTATCCTTAACTTAATTAAATACACCACTGTTGGCTAGTGGTAAAACGTATCGTCTTTTTAGAAAATGTTAAATATATGTAAATTAGAATAAAAAATACAATCATAGCCTATGTTATTTATCCTAAAACACATTCCATAAACAGGTAAAAACAACTGCACATTATCAAAACAAAATAAAATCAACACATTTTTTTTCGTGGCAAATGGGAACCCTAATAATATTTGGCAAATAAAAATACCTACTTATATGAGAATAAGACTATTGGCAGTTTGTATGTATTTTTTTCCGTATGCATTTTTTATAATTATAATAATAAGAAAAAATGGGGTACAATATTTTACTATGCCTAGCAACATTTTCATTATATTGGCGTCTGTCAAATTTATTATTTATTATTTTGTTTTGAAGAATGTTTTAAAAAAAATATAAGATACTAGGGGCAATACTTACCCGTGAAATGAGAATTTTACATTTTTTTCGTGATTATGTGATGAGTTGTGACACCCTTTCACAGTACAGTACGTCATTTTTTTGGAAAAATTGTGCTAGCTGTTTACACTTCTACGTGGACTCGAGTACTAACGCGCCAAAAGTCTTATTTAGCCTTTAAAGGCTAACTTGAAATGGCTTCACTTTGCGTGCGCCTACTGCGGTTCTAAGCCTAATACTTCTATGGCCTCGGCTCTTAACAAGGTATCGCGAGAAGCCGCAAAAGTGTCTGCAAGTAGCATCCGACACTAGCAATTTACCTCTCTATCCAAGAGCCAATATCATACCGTCGGGTCTCTTGCTATCGCCTTTAAATATTCCATAAGGCTCTAAAACCTAGGGAACATTTATAGTAATCATATGTTATATATTTTTGTTATTTTTATTTAGATATTTTTGTAATAGAGGGTAGAGTAGTCAGAGCCCCTTTTCTATATATCTATACAAATAAATAAAATTTAAGTGTCTATTTGTAATGTTAAAATAACTGCTTTTTACTAAATGCATATGAAAGTATACACGGTACTAACAACAACAAAAAAAAAACAATTTTTAAAATTTTTGTCTGTCTGTTCGTTCCAGCTAATCTCCGAAACGGCTGGACCGATTTTAACGGGACTTTCACTGGCATATAGCTGATGTTATAAGGAGTAACTAAGGGTACTTTTATTTTAGAAAAAGAATTAGGATTCTGCGTAAAAAAATTAAAACCCATGAAATCGTAGCAAATTCCACACGGGTGAAGTCGCGGGGAACAGCTAGCAGTCTTTAATAAAAAAAGTCGTACTAAAGTTAGTGTTTCCTAAATGTAAAATTTTGCTTTGACGTTATAACAATATCAATTTGCATTTTTTTACCAATGTTTTATCGAAATATTAATGCGTATTTTTTTCGAGTTCTTATAGCAATATACAATCATTTCCAGTTTATGGTACGATCTTCTAAATATAAAGTTGGCAACCCTGAGACTCCCTGAGGGAGCTCCAGTGAGTTCACCTCAGTTGTGAGTTGCGTGGCCGCAAGGGCAGAGTTTTCACGTCTGTTTATTATTTAATAGTAAATAATTGCTCGTAACTATGTCGTGCGCTAAAGAAAATTATGTCCTTCTCAATGTCATCGACATCTACAGAGATATGCCTTATCTTTGGAAGAAAGAGGACAAGGATTATTCCACTAAAGAAATAAGCGAAGGCTTTAAAGTAGGTACTTATACAAAATAATAAATCTTAGGAGCGAATATTTTTTCACCCACATTTTCCTTTCCTTCCTTTATTTAGTTTGGCCTTGCATGGTACCGACAGCCAAAGTGACCCCTAAAGCAATTTTTTGACGTTTAGATAAAGTCGGCGCCATAATGCTACACGTGCAAACGTTTCCACGTTTGAGTAAGGATTGAGGCAGGAAGCGATTTCTAGCGTAATAAGTAGCGCCTGCCTGTTGGCAGGGCACACGATAGACAGGACCCGATAAATCGTGTAATGTAATAGGGCTTTTAGTGGTGGCGCCACCAGCGTGGCGGTGCGATCAGCGTGGCGGCACAACCAGTAAAGCTGAACGCACATTAGTCCGCCCCGTTCGCGCCGAATTTTAGAATTTGTTTATGAAATCATATGAAACCTCGCACATTACACCGGCACCGTACGCGCAGAATTTTATAAAATGCGGTAGGTATACGATGTCGAAGGACGAATGCTGATGACGTCATATAACGCGGCGCATGCTGATACTCAGTGTAGTCTAATGTTGCCAACTTAGTGGATTTTCCACTATAACTGGTGGTTTCGACTTACATGATAATTTTTGTATTTTTATAACTTTTAATTAATTCGTAATTAATTATACATAATTAGATTTTTTTTGCATCGATTATCAATATGAATACTTAGTGATAAATTATTTAAATACTGAACTAAACAAGTGGTTAAATTTAATTCAAAAACCCAATTATACATGATAACATAATTATCAATAAAAATACTTACCTCATACATACAACAAGTCTTTTCTCTGGTTCAATTGGCCTTCTAAACCTTGAGTTTTCCATAGAAAGGTATGGTTTTAGTACATGTAGCAATTCTTGAAGTTTCTTGTATGTTAAATGCAAATATCTAAAAAATCGTTCATCATTATCTAATAAGTCTTTAAATTAAGTATATCCCCTTCATATTCTCCATACATTTGCCTTTTTAAATTAATATTATGAATCCAGAGTCTTCTTTATCTCCAAATTTTTTTTCTTCTTCCTCTGCCAATAAGCAGGCTATTACTGTATTTCTTTCCATAGTGATTTCGAGCGATCAATTTCACTGTACCGCTTCACACCAGTGGTTGGAAAATCCTACAAAAGTTGTTGGTAATACAAAAGATTTGCGTACGGCGTAAGGCCATCAGTAAAACTCGGCGCGTACGATGCGTACGGTGCGGACAAATGTGCGTTCAGCTTAACATTCTGTGCACGCGTACGAGCTGGTCGCGCCGCTAAATTAGTTGCGCAACCAAACGGACACCAGGTGAATAACTCTCTATAGAGATGTATACATTTTGTTGGTAGTGGCGACTGGTTGTGCCGCCATGGTGTCTCGGTGAAATATAGCCCAACTACGGTCGTGAAGTACACACGTACTTTCAGCTTACCACGTAAGCCGGTAAGCCGGTAAGTTACGGTATTTTAAAGATGGTTTCTATATAAATTTTAACTGTTAAAACACACTGATAGCTCCATATCCCTCTCATAAAATGAGAGGAGGGTTATGCCCAGCAATAGGTCGAATAGGGCTACTATAACTCTACTGTACTTTATTTAAAAAAAAATGTTAAAATATCGTTTTCAGTTAAAGCGGGCACACACCCAGCGCGTCGCTGGGCTTGGTGTGGCACTGCTGCTCAACTTGGTGTGTCGCTAGCGGCGTCTGGCGGGGCCTGTATCCTCGCTGCGTTGGCTTCTGCATCGCGCGCGAGGTGTTCTCCACGGCCGCTACTCGTGTGCAATTGTACTGCAGGTAGGAAGCTCGGAGAATGTAGTGTGTAGATGTGCGATGGTTGAGCGTGGGTCTGTAACAAAACTGGCCACTAAAAAGTTTTTTTTTTCGAATTCTAATTTGGTATGTTTAGGCTCGATAAGTCGCCAGTTTTTAATTCCATTCTTTATCCGCACGGGTAGCCGCCATTTCGCATATTATTTTTCACTGTGATTGTTAATTTGTTGAAAACAGATTCAGTAATATTTAAGACGCTTAAAAATAATAAAACTTAAAAATAATAAAATAATATCTAAGCATCACCCATACGTTTGTGTATTGCGTTATTGACAGGGACACTTCTATAGATATTCAAACGACCAAAAAAAAAAAAACAGACGAAAGAAGTGTTCATTTAATGAGACACCGAAACTAAACTAAAACCGTTTTTAACTTATTGCAAGCACGCACTTCGCTCACATGTGCATATAATATAATTTACGACCAACATCATAGTTTTAGGAGAACATCCTAGTGTGGGGGTAACGTTTTTAAAAAAGAATAAAAGAATAATAGTTTTAGGTGCACACGTGTGCGCCCGGCAGTGAACTGCTACTCCTGCACTACGGGCTGTAAAAAGAGGTGTGTGTGAGTGCGTCACATGTTGTGCATGGTTTTGGTGTTACTTGAGATGCACGCAGCGCTCCGTCCATCTTTTTTTGTTTGTCGAAAGCTAAACACATGAAGGGTATTTACCGAGTGAACGAGAGTGCACAAGACTCGTATAGTCTGTTCACTAAGATAGGGTCGGCACATCCGGAGGCGCACTTATTATTTTGCTTTTATTTTATAATTTTTTATAGTCTTCGTTAAATAAATGTTTTTTCATTCTAAGAATAAAATAGAATACTATTAATACTTATTTTTATTGTTATTGTAATAAAATATGAATATAAATTATAACAAAGGTTAGGTTAGGTTAGGTCCTTTCACTTCGGTGGCCGGCGCGGCGCTTTGTTTAAAAATACCAAAATTTTCTTGCGAGTGTACGCCGCACGCGACGGCATTTGATATCGCGGCGGCGCGCCTTTGTCAAGTTGAGGCACGTGCCAAGGCGACGCGACACAAAGGTGACCGTATCTAAGCGAACAGACTATACAAGTGTCTCGCGACGTTCGCATACAAACACGGGGTCCATCTATAGTATCGGACAGAGAAAATAACACGACATTTAGAGTTGTGTATATATTATATAAAAAATCGGACATTTGCATTTAGAAAAACCCAAAAAAACTTCTTAGGTGCTAATTAGGTGCCAAGTTTAAAAATTAGGTGCTCTAAAATTTTCCCCGCAACGAACTGTTAAAATTCGCATTGCTAGCAAAACGTATCGCTAGCACAAAATCCTCCATGAACATTTAGCGGTCAGGAAGCTTTGTGTCCGGTAGATACCTCATAACTTGACAAAGGCCTAAAAACTCCGTCGTGTTGATTGGTGTCGTGAAATGGTTCAAAGATTTAACGGGAGTGACGACATACTTACGGGAGAAGAGTACTTTACTACGGCCTCAAATGCCATCGTGAGTGGTTGTTTATTACAGCGGCTCGTGCTGAAAAATATCGATCGGGAAATACATATTTCAAAAACCAAATTTGATACACACTTCACCAAGGTAAGATATTGTTACGAGCTTAGTGTTCGAGACAATTAAAAACTGCCGATTGAATTACCAAAATTGACACTTTAATACAGAACACAAATTACAATTTAAAACCACACTATTAATAAAACACAATTGGACTACTGATCACTTTAGTTCGCAGTTATTTCGCTTCGAAGTTTTCGTTTGTATCGCCAATTCAATACTCTCTCGGTCGTGGCCTATACCGGCCTTATATAGGGCCTCAGATAGTTTTCAGAACCTTCTACTGTAGAAACATCTAGTATGTTCGAGTACATATCGGTCCCGAAATTTCTAGAAGGATCTTGACTCTCCTAGTTCTGTTACTCGATACCAGAGGCGCTAGTGGTAACTTAGTGTTGCCATGTACAAGACATTAATAGTGGCGCGCAACAATATTATTATTATTATAATCACAGATTTTTATTACAATATTTTGTTTCCCTAAAAGCATGCAGGATTTATATATAAACATACTTATACGTCTTGGACTTTATAGACCTGAAAGTGTACTTCGGTATCTGCTACTGGAACTCCTCGAAGAGGAGAATTAGATGTGCCGAGTTTGACCTCGTTTTATTAGTTATGATGAGACCTTATCTCTGGACTTGATAGAGTGACTTGAAAGTGTACTTCAGTGACTGCTACTGGAACTCTTTGACGAATAGAAGTACAATTTACACATTTTGTTTTCACGATCATATGAGGGTTATGAGTCGTTAATTTTTGGATTTTCCAAGCTTTATTTTAAATTGAAATTTGACATAAAATGATCGGAAAATTTGATGTATAGTAATAATAAAGTATAAGGTTTTTAGTGAAAACTTATGTGTAATTAAACTACTTTAAAAATATACACCTTAATACGCTTAAGGCATGCACAATGGGATTTACCAATATTTTTTCGTATGTCTATTATTGTCACTGCGTTGCTAGCAATACGTTTTGCCAGCAACCCCAATTTCAACAGTTCGTTGCGGTGAAAATTTTAGAGCACCTAATTTTTAAGCTTGGTATATTTAGCACTTAAGCACCTAAAACCCCCTAATTTTGGCTTTTTCTAAATACAAATTTCCTGACTTTGCGTTGCTGTCGAGACATACCTGACATTTAGTACTACCGAGGCGGGCATCACGTTGTTTACTAGGATCTGAAGTGTAAAGAGAGCTAGTGTGTACTATTTCAAGCTGTGAATCATTTCATCTTAGTCGTCAGAGGTCACAATACATCTGTAGTCTAGTAGGGCTATAGCAGCCAATTAGCATTAGGTGAACTGTAAGTTTGTGTGTCACTTCAGTTCTGTAAAAACTGATTTGTTATTACTTCTTTTCCAGTGTTGTTCTCACTGGGCGCAATTGCAGTATGGCTGACGGAGTACTTCCTAAGGCTACAGCATAATGTCATGTCTGAGGAGGATTTAGCTAACACCTGGTTCTCTGACGGGATGGCCGATTTGGGATTGTCGTTTTGGTAAGAACTTTAAAGGTGTTTTGATATGTGATTATGTTTGTTTTATGGAATAAGGCTGACAAACGAGCGAAAAACGAGAGAGAATCGGAAACATTTTATATTGGTAATAAAGCATTCAAAGCAAATTTGAAGTAGCTGATTAATGCTGCTGTGTTTCGTATGATTAGTGTAGAGAGAACTAAGGCACATTTTACTGGAAACTAGGCATTCTATCTTAGTCCTCAGAACCAAGCATTTTTAATCTAAATCGAGGATAGATGTAGATGTTTGTGGGCAACAGCATCCACTTGCCAACAGATGGACAGTTTGCTTTTTTCTTATGTGGTAGAGCCAAGCTGCAGCTATATTATGGTTGTAGTACAAATGGTTCTATTAAACCAGTCTATTAAAATAATGCTCGTTTGTCACCTTTATTCTATGAAAAAAATTACGTCTTAGTTCTCAGTGGTAAACAACGCCTTTTGATCCTCAATCCAGCATATGTAGCCAGTTATATGTATATCACTACGCGAGAATGTTTGTGAAGGTTGGCATTCCAATAGACATTGCAACAATGTATGGGAAATCAGTCTTTAAGCGTGAATAATAACACTCAGTGTTCCCAGTCAAGTTAATTAATTATTGTGTGGATTTAGCTCTAATTATTTAGATATCTGTGGGGAACACCTAGGTTTAGCCGGCTTCAACTAGGTACAAGTGCATTCGGTTAGTTAAACTTTAATGTATTGTATCTTTATATTATGTATAATTCTTCCGCCCGTGTGTATGTGACTGAACTAAACAGCTGGACCGGTTTTGATGAAATTTTGTGTGCGTCATTTAATTTGTTAACACTTCAATTTTATTTATATGTATTTTCATTTATTTGTAAGATATAGTATATAACACTATCTAATAATGAAGCTCTATGAACCCTGTATTAAATAAATCTTACAGGGTTTCAGACCTTCATGTAATAGTATAATATACATTGATACATTAGTACATTTACAAGCATACTTAAGAATGAATAATTTACAAAGTAAAAACAAATAGTATATGGAAAAATAATTACTAAATCACCATACGTTGGGCGCCACGGTGACGTGTTAAATTTATAGATAGGTAGAAAATAAATTAGATGTCACAGAATTTTAGATTTATATATATAAACATGGTTACCTCAGATAGTTCGGGGTTCTAGGCGTACGCCTTTCTCACTGAGGTCTGCACTTATAACACAATTGGTAGTGGAAGTAGGTACCGTCCCTGAGTAGATAGTCTTTGGTAGCAGCCCGGCCTAGATAGTCTGGGCGGTGAAGCACAGGACGTCCGGTCAACTCGTGCCGCTTAGGTGGTGTGGCGGCCGTCGACGGACGTCTTGCTGGTAGCTCTGTAGCGAGGGTCCTGGTGGTCACTACCTTCCGGAGATAGGACTCTGGTGGTAAAAGAAGCACCCCAAGTTGGGGTTGACACGTCTTTAGTTAAAACTGATAGGATAATGTCCGATCGCTGTAAGGCTCTTGTTAAAAAGGAATGACTGGGCATTTTCGCTGGCTTATACATATACCCACGAGCAGAGACTAGTATTGAACAGTTTACCGATTGCATGAGATTACATAGATTAAATTAGTTAGGCTTGTACCATACTCTATGTGATCCATAACGAGTAAGGTATTCGATAGATCCAAATAAGTGAATTAATCCATCGAGTAAATCCATCGAATCAGTAATTCATTACTGGGGCGGTGTATGTTTTTACAACAAAATTCCAGAAAATATACAAAATTTGACTTGCTGAAAGTTCAAGAATTAATTAAACTAAGTTTGAATAAAAAGGGTTATATATATATATATATATATATATATATATATATATATATATATATTCGCTACAAAAACTATTTCTAATTTTTTGTGTTGTGTACCCTATAAAAAAAAAAAACATGATTGTAAGCTGTTATTTAAAAAAAAGTCCCGCTGGGTTTCTTGCTGGTTCTTCCCAGGACAGAGGTTTTTTCCAACCAGTGGTAATTAAACAAACGAGTGACTTTCAATTAATATTATTTATAATCTATATTGAATAAAAAAGTTTCTGTTTCTGTTTCTGTTTCTATTAAGTTATTGATTCTAATTAACAATATTGGATGTTTTTATTTAAATTTTTACTATCATATCGTACAATGTTACACTCTCCCTATAATATTTGGGGATATTTGCCATAGTTGCCACACCATAGTAGCATTTGCCATAGTAGCAGGTGGGTTGGCAACTGCAGGTTTTTATTTTTGACTTATTTTGAAGACGCTGCTACCTATCTACTAGTTTGTTTCCCTCTGTTGCCTCTTACAACACTCATGGGACGATATTGGGTAGTTGATATTCATACACTACACGGTAACATATCATACTATATGAGAGGTTCCATATTTAATTTGACACCATATAATGGCCTCGATTTCTGGAGGGGATAATAAATGTCATATAGCTTAAAAATAATTATGCATTACACAATGCGAAGCGACTGTAGGAGAAAGATAGCGTAGGTGTACTCGTATGTCGGCGACCAAAGTATAGCAATACCAAATAAGAGTACATGACAATTTCTCTTCTGTTTCCAGGCTCGTTGTTGCGGCAGCTATAGCAGCGTTTGTCAATAACGTTTGCATTCTCATTGCGATGGCAGACGGCAGGGACGCGGACACCATAGCTCCAGCCCTAGAGGAGAAAGTCAATGGAGCGATCATGCTGTATTAGAGCACTGTTGCTTCGTAAAACTGGAGGGGATAATAGCTCAAAATAGTCGTGTAAGAGTTATTTTACTTTAAGTCATGTCTTTGTGGATCTGTTGTTGCGACTGAATAGTTTTTTGTGTTCTTAGTTAGATATTTAAGGATTTAGGGAAATTTAAAACATTTTCTATAAAAAAATAGCCCAACATAATGTCCTCTGTCGTAGGGTCGTACGGATTCATCTACATGTATAATATTATAATTAGCATAGGACTTTTCGACTGCGACTTTTGTGGTTCCGGGTTCGATCCCGGGTCGGGCCAAAATTAAATTGGGTTTTTCGGTCAAGAAATTCTCAGTAGCAGCCCAGAGTCAAGAAGTTTGCAGTATTTCACCGCCGTGCCACAGAAAGCACGTAAAGCCGTTGATCCTGTGCCGATTTCTCTTCGGTCGTGTCGAATAACCGTCCCATCGGACTATGAGAGTGAGGGTGGGTATAGAGTGGACGCACACGGACATAATCGTGTATCATGTTCAATGTAGATGTCACAGTCAAAACTTATAACCCGTCAAAACCACTTTTGACTGCAAAAATCAGGTTTTAACCAAAGTTTTTAGTGAAAAGTGGTGTTCTAATTAAAACTTCAGACTATCGGTCAAAACTCGCAATATCAGTAACAGTAGTTTAAGGTGCGGCTACTAAAGCCGCGTACATTATAATGATATAAAATATAATATTCAAGAAATTTAACTTTTTAATTTCATAAATTCAAAAAGTATAAGTCAAAAGAGGTTTTGACTAACATTGTTGGTCAAAACCACTTTTGACCGTTGTAATTTGATCAAAATCACTATTATCCAGTACTTTTTCAAAACCACTTTTGACCGTTGTAATTTGGTCAAAATCACTATTACCCAGTACTTTTTCAGTTAAATAAGGATTTGACCAAAGAACTTAGTCCAATGATTTTGAATCTTTCTTAACAGAATGTAAGTCTAACCAAACATAACATAAACATAATAACACAAACCAAACATAGGACACACCATATATAGGACACACTAGGTTGTTTCAAATCATGGGATACAAAATTATTCATTTATTATAATTGTGTATAAAAATGTTGAGTTGAAACTTTTTTAAGCATTGCAAATCTTCATATTTTTCTTTAGTAATTGGAATGGGATTACAGTAGAGGCTTTTCTATGCCTTGATTGTCAGGTATAGATGTTTGGTCAAGTTTCACACAAACATAAGAGTTTTGGTCAGATTTGATTAAAATTTGATTAGTCGCTTTCTTCGTAATTGAGAGTTGTCTCACAGGCGGTGAGGCAAAAGGAGATTTTGTAACATAATAGCCTTTAAAGACCTTACTAAAAATTTTATACATACATGTTTTACAGTCATTGGGATTTTTTGATTTATAAGCCCCATGTTTTTATTACACTCCGTGTACGAGTGGCCCCGTATAGGGAATATAATAGAAACTTTATCAAATATTTTTTGTACATGAACTAAATAATATAGGTTACGAAACATGGTATAGCTTTTATTCTGTCCACTACAATTGTCAAAAAAAATTGTATTTCCACTATTGTTTTAGAAACAAAGTGAAAAATTTGTCTAGCAGAGTTTCATCATGGACATAAAAGTGTGATGAAGGAGTTGACAGTTTATGTATTTTAAATAAACAAAAGGACAATTGGCGTTTGTAATAACCATCGTTTGTGGTGATATTGGGGAGTGGCATATTTTCTTGGTAGTCGAATGCAAAGGCTTCACACTTGGAATTATTTTGTGCTTTCAATCTTGCTTTCCGTTTAAGCTTATAAAATTTGCCTGCTTTGTGTGCGTGTAATTTTAACTGAACTCTTAAGTAACTTTAGTTCATTTTGTGAACTTTGTGTATTTGTATTTCCTGATTCTAAAGCTGAAATCTTTGGATTCATTTCATCACATGTGTCACTTCTGGGGTAACCAAAAGAAGTATTAAATTTTGTTTAGAAAATATTAGGTAACTTTCATAGCTTATCTTATGAGAAGGTTGTTCTTCCTTGAATAAATCATACATTTTTTTTACATTAAGAGATTCTGGTAAATAAATCTTGTCAGTGTCATGAATACTGTAATGCGATTTCCTTCCTCTGAAAGAAGATATTTGTTCAATGACTGCCGTTTAGTGTCTTTGGATAAGAGTACGAGTGATTATGTTTTATTACTTTGATCAGTTTTGCGGCTTCTGCGCCATTCTACCGGCATGAGTGATATAAGACCACTTAATTTTTTTTTGATTATTTGCCGACGAGCACATGATTAGGATTAGGATTATCGGCAATCTGGCATTTGGTCATTTCACTTTTAATTCTATTCTTTCTAATTAATTTACAGATAAGGTACGTTTAAAACAAATTATTTAACATAATTAATAGAGTCAGGCGTTACTTTGCGGAAATTCATTATATAAAAGCTTTTAAAAAAGTTATTTCGCAAACATCCGCTCTATAAAATAAAATGATGTGTCTTACCTAGTATGAAGAGCACCTCCCGCCCTCCCTCAATTGCGTGCACTATCCCCGTCACCACTAATCCCAGCACCACTAAACTAGGAAAGACACACCACTGACGACAATACGACACGTGTTTCGCCTTTACACGAGGCATCCTCAGGTGATGTAGACTCTACGGTGGCTGACCGTTAAGTGAGCGGTGAGCCAAAACAACTGCCTTTCATACAGACCGCTGACGCAACCGCTCCCTGCTTAAGGAGCGAGCGACCGCGTCATGCGACCAATCACCGCCGGACGACAAAAGTACAACATTCGTTGACAGCTCTCAAAAAACTTGGTAAAAGGGACATAGTCCATATACAGTGATCTTTTTAAATTCAATAGTGGCGACTATGATCTTTTATGCATACAGCCATACTGACGTTTTTTGAGCCGCGTGTGTGCAATGATTGGTTTTAGCTGTTTTCGGTTTCTTAACGATACAGCTTTATGAATTTTTTCCTACATGACATTGCTAACATTCGGAAAAAATGGACTATGATCTTTCTTTCTTTGTACCCTTCAAATATAAATGCATTATAACGTAAAAAGGACTACAGTCCAGTGACTTGTGATCTTTTTTTGCAGTAATCCTTAGGTTGTTGATTGATGTTTTTTATTTAAATTCTCATGTAGCATTAGTAAAAAAAATCATGTTGGTATAATTTTGTAACTCATATATTGTAGTATTAAATAATACTTCACAATTTTTTTTAAATAAATACTTTGAGAACGTTAAATAAGTTTTATCAGTTTTCTCAAGACAATCGTCAAGTGACAATGATTTTTCTTTTCCTGTACCATTCAAGTGGTTATGACCGGTTATGAGTTTTGACTGTAGCATAGACATACATATTGAACTTTTGTTATAAGATGTGAAAAAATGATTCTAATTCCGTCCAAGGGAAATACTAAAAGAGGTTGTAGAAATAATAATTTTATGACATTAAAAATATAACACCTAATTATAAAAGAAGTATAAAAAGTACATGTTGTTTATGATTAACAATTAGATACCTACCATTTCTTTTTTAATTCATGTTTTTTTTTTAATTTTGTGCATTAAAAATAATGATACGTTATTTTTAACCGACTTCAAAAAAGAAAGAGGTTCTCAATTCGTTGAAATCTTTTTTATGTATGTTCACCGATTACTCGAACACGCATGAACCAATTTAAAAAATTGTTTTTTTTTTTTGTTTCAAAGGGTATACTACCCAGGTGGGGTCACGTTTAAATTTTATCGAAATCGATCTAGTGGTTTTAAAAAAATCAACAATGAATTATTTTATTTATATTGAAGTTGGTTCTACAAAATTTTTAATTTAACCACCGTTTAATTATAACATAACCAGTGTATAATGTATTTCAACCACAATTTTTAATTTGTTCACCTCTCTTGTAGGTACTTATTTTATAATAATAAATAATAATTATTATTATTATAAAAATTAAATTGGCGTAAAAGTGAAACATTTGAACTACTTAAGTTACAACTGCAGTTAATTCTTGTTAAGTATATGTTGTATTTTATCCTATTAATAACTTTTATCTTATCTTTGAAAAAAAATCAACCCTTGATGTGAATTGTTTACATTAGCTTCTGCAATATTGAAATATGAGTGCATTATACATGCCAAAATTAATAAATACATTCTTTATTCCAAAGTAATAGTACAGTTTAAAGATAGTCTAACAGTTGGGAAACGAATGTACTTGTGCAGAGCAACGGCGGGGGCCTTGTGTCTGCGCACTGCACTATAGACGGAGAGGCAGAGCCAAAAAAAGTCTCTGAATTTATTAAGCCTGGTTTTTTCTCAGGTGATTATAATCATAATTAACAATAAAACTCTATGGTCAGTCAAGCGGATATTAGAACAGGTGTCTCAGGTGCGCGGTCAAAAGAAATTGATTTTATTATGTCGGTGACCACCGACATAATAAAATCATTTTCTTAAGGTGGAAGCTCCAGGGTGGTCCGCGAAATTCAAATTTTCTTGCGTTTTTTGCAATTGGAGGTCGCTGTCAGGTTGTATGTTTAACAAAATATGATTTGTGACCGTAACAACCTAGCATACCTACGCGTGTAGCGGCATCGCTTGACACAAAGGCAACAGTTAGACTATCTTCAAACTGTGGTAATATTGTAAAATTATATTATGAGGTTCGAACAAAATAAGGTTTTGGCTCGGTCTGGTTTTCAAGATTTGGTTCGCCAAGTAATTTCTTCTTTAATATCTCGTCCATACATTGTACTCCTTGAATTTTGCCATCTTGTATTTAGTTTGACAGTTCTCACTCTCATGTTTACACGGTACTTTGAGTAGGTAATAAAAAAAAGTACATTTTAGTATGTAAACTATTTGAGAATTTCAAAAAACTTCCAATCCGTCTTAAACGAAAGTAAACAATTAAATAAAAATAAAAAAAAAAATAAAAAAGTAAACAGATAAAACAATTCTAATTGTAGACTAGTGT